ATATTCATAAAACCGAATGCTTCAAATAACTGAATTAATCATCATATTCGGATGCAGGAAGCAAGCTTTTATGAAGACACAAGCACAATATGCAGCACTCACCCGTTTCTGGATCAACCGTGAAATATTGAGACATATCCCCGGATAAACGAAGATCTTTGTAACGTTCACCATTCAAAGGATTATAAGCTGGCAACGATAGAACAATGTATCCTTCAGGTGTCTCTTCAGCCAATTTTATCTGCAATCGTAATCGCAATGTATTATCGTATTTTCGATTTACCGATCACTCTTTGATTACTATTGTATTTCTTAGTCAAATTGAAAGAAAATCAAAAATTTTCAACTACTCACTGGTATGATATTGAGATCAGTTTTCCAAGGGTTTATGAATTTTGGTCGAGACAGCTCACGGTTACGCGCAGCAACTTGCTCAGGATCCGAACTCAGATAGACCATAACCAGTGCTGAAAGCGAATTTGATATCAATTCTTTAAAGTGGAATATTTTAGATTTCGAGTGATTTATGAAGCATAAAAACTTCGAATGTAGGAATCAAATAATTCTGTTCTTCTCTACAAATATGATCAAGATACGATGTCGTACCCTTATCGTCAGCATTTTCGTCTGTTACCAATTGGAATTGGATTGATCTGATATTTTGAAGTTTATTCATTTGGAATAGTACATTGCCATTCACCAATGAGATCGCACTCTGGAATCAAGTTATCAGAGAATGCACATATAAAAGTTTATTGAACAAATTCCTCATAATTTGGTATCTATATACGTTCGGTCTTTCGGAAAGGCTACTAACATAGAAAGAATCGCTTTTCTAAAATGAAATCATAGTTCATTTTCATAATAATAACATTATCTGGAGTTATGAATTCTTTGAATGTACCGTACCCTATCAACTGAAACTTTGTGAAGTTTTTCGTCAACTGCAGAAATACTTTCACGGATTATTTTAATCGCCGATTTATCGTCTCTTGACAAGACTTGAAGTGAAAAATGAGCCACGGATGGATCTGAAATTAGCTTTCTTTTATTCAAATACGATTTTGCATAGTTCTCAGTTTCATAACTTTATCCATTGCAATGGTACACTCTCAGCAATGGTTAAACGCGGTTTTTGATCCGTGACCAAGGATCAATGAGCAATTTGGTGTTAATCAAACTGTTGATAGTTTACATTTCCATAATTCAACGAAACTCTAACAAAATCTTTTATCTACGGACTTTTCCTTAAGAGCCGAAATATGCATTTCTGAGATTTTATAACACAGGTGAAGGTGAATGTTTTGAATCCACTGAAGCATCACTGCAGAGTTCAATGTAAGGTGGTTAAGAGTATTTGAACATATGCTCAAAATTTTGATGCGTCTAAGTCAGTCTATCGAAACTGCATAAATTTTATGACATTCGTGCAGATGCGATACACCGAATAGAAAGTAGTAAAATAACTTCAAAATCCGCAGTTATAGCGAAGTTATAGCGATAGCTGACCTTTCCTGAACACTTTACTCAAAAGTTTTTGTTTGAATACTGTTGTCACCTTTCCACCATTTACAACAGTCAACGAGAATATGGTTTCTGAAAGGACCTGTCCACTGGTACGATTCACTGCAGCTATCGATATATCGTATTTACCACTCGAAACTCCGTCTCTAAAAGCAAACAAACCATCGATCTTCAACAAATCAACCGATTGTTCTCCTTGAGCACTTTCCAAACTTCGAATTCAAAATATCATCACAACTTTTCGAATTTCTCAATTTCCGTAGTAAATCTCAAAATAATCCTCAAAATTCCCTCAGGTTATTCAAAATATCTCAAGATTGCTGCTGGAAGCTTCAAAAATTTCCTAGAATACGTTGCAATTATTGCCGTAACTGTTTCAGATTTCTTTCCGTATCATAAGATCACATCCTGCTAAGATTAATCTTAAGATTCTGCTCGTCAAAATGCCATATCATTAGTCAAGTTGACAATATAACCAAGAAATTGCAGTACTCACTTCGGAACATCACCAACAAAAACATTCCCGGAATACTCATCCATCAAAAGCCACCCCGGATCATCACGAAGTATTATGAAGCGGACATCCCCGATCCGAGCACCGTCAAATTCTGGATGTAGCAGTGGATTCCCTGAAAACGAATACAATTAGTGAAGCAATGAAGGAATACGGTTCATTCCACTTTTTTTCATGAAACCCAATTGAAATCAATGGGAATATAATCGAATGGAATAAACATCCTCGATCGAACTCACACACCTTTGTGTAATTTCTCGTGGTTTATTGTACGTTCATATCTGGATCGTTTGAAATACGCTTTTGTCATCGTATCCTCAAAAACGATTCAAACATTCGAATGGGCAATATCAAGATACGACAATTGGAATGATTATATTAATAATAATAATAATAATAATAATAATACTGATAATCTATTATTTCAGAAATACTCTCAATTTATCAACAATTGCTCTGAAAATGTTGCTGTAGCGTTCTGAAATGAATTTCTTTACTTGATCGCATAACTAATGCGAAGATGCAGTCTATCATAAAAGCAGTGATAATGATATCGCTAAGTATCCCTGAATGAAACTTTCACAAAACGTAGCTGGACAAGCAATCTGAGCAACCTACCAAAACGTTGACCGTGACAGTAGCGATGCTCGGTGGATTAACACCGTCAACATCGCGAGCCACCACCTCAAGTTCGTAAATGCCGGCATTTGGAAGCGATGAGAGACGTGCAATATACAGATCATTACGTATTCTTTCCAACGAGATGAATCTTGATGCATTTCCATCCGTCAGTACATCGTTCAAGTTGAACGGCGCTATATCTGCGTCCTCAATCTTAAAATTTCTATGTTTCACTCAATCAATTTCTCAAAAACTACAATAAATTGACAATTCAACAATCTCTCCAAATCAACTTTGAAGAAGCAAACGTTCGTCGTCTATTTCCTTTCAAATTCTCCAAAATTTATGGCAAAACAAAACGAAACGTTACTTTAACTGCAAATGGTCGAACAAATTTTCCATTGGAAATTTCGATCTCCCTTCGACTAATGCGAATTTTGGGACCGTTATCATTACGATCATCGACAAAGATACGAATTGAAGCAGGCACCGAATTCAGGCCACCTGAAAATAGACATTCAATGAAATGCTTATTATGTGACCAATAGTAATAAGTAAACTAGCTAAGA